TGAACCCAGTTATAACGGATTGGACCCTGTCACCCTTCAGTGGCAGATCTACAATTGGCAACTGGAAATAATAGAATGCAGTTCATTGCGCAGAATTTCGAATGTCAACTTCATACCGTCACTGCACGATCTGGGGCTAAACAAGCACGCCGTGGGTGGGGTTTTTTCGCATGAATTCACGTGAGCTCTGGCCTTAGTTAAAAGTGTGGCTTTTACCATGCGTACCGAGGAGACGAGAAATTTGAATCTGTCACAGAGATGAAATTTATACAGGAGAGTTAGTTGTACCGCTCGCAGGGGGGGGGGTTTCACCTACGATTAGCCTTCGAGGTCTTGAAGAATATATGCTCTCCCATTAAAAAGCAATTCTGTGACTAATCTAACTAGTTTTGTATTTTTGTTAAATTTATAGATAAGTTTTTTAAAAGAAAGCGCCATGAGATTAAGTACATTTCACTGTATTGAATATAAAGGTGTTGAATGCAATGCGATGTGGTTGTTTTTTATTTTCTTTGATGTACATTTTTAGTCCATTATTTCATCGATTCGTCATCGAACCACTATCGAATTAGCTTTTCTAGTCTTTTTTATTATTGCACACAGAACGTGGATAATTTGTTTTCTGGAACAATTGAAGGCATTGTAGAGAACTGATTAATATTTTCATCATCATTTCAGAACTGCTCTAAATTCTTTCTAAAACGAATTATGTTTGCCGATCCGTTCATTTTCTGTAAATTCCACCAGGTTTCTTGGTGACCCGATCACCCCAGAGCTTTTTTATTAATAAAATCTATACCACTCAATTGTTTACACTCAATGCTTTATTCTCAATAGTTTTAAATCGTTTCAATATTTAAGTGTTCTTGATCCAAAGGAGTAATACTGCTGTAAAAATTTATAGAAGCAATTTCATTTAAAAATCACACTTATAATTCTGTACATCACATCGAAAAAAGTAATGTGATTTGTTTTCTTAATTTCATTCTTAAGGTCACAAAAACTAATTATTATCGAAATATTTCATACCGCAAATAACGACATAAAAATTAGGGAAACAATAAAAGAGGATACAAAAGTTAAAACAAACACAAAATGTTAAGCCAAACACAAAAGATATAACAATGATTTTTATTAATAGATAATATGTTTTTTTTATATGCAGTGGTTTTTTGTATTTTAAATCCTAACAGCTGAAGAGGGGGAGTGGCAGAACCCCGAAATCGATACTTGTTAAAAAAATAAATGATAGTAAAAAATAGACTAATTTTTATGAAAATGTGTTTCTGGTTGCCTACGTCTATGGAATAGAGTGGATATAGATAAAAAATACAACGAAAAATTACTATACAAAGAATTTAAAGTTTTAAATTTAGAACAATTATTTTTTGAACGTTCATTTCTTCAAATGTTTAAATATAAATTATTTCATAAATCCTTAAATTTATTAACTAACACCAGAGTAATCATGATTTAAACATAATAATAGATACAACGAAATACTATAATTTTTCTTATAACAGTAATTATAAATTGAAAACATGAAATTATAATTAATTTCATTTATAATTATAATTAATAGCAGTAATTTCAGAAATTTAGCGAGTTACAAATAATTTATACATTCGTACATTCTTGACTCAAGATAGTAAGTTTATCAGTCTTTTTTTTCAAAATTAATATTATTTGCTTGTTTTATTATAATGAAAAGACGTCGTTAATTTTGCATCTCCTGTTATCCAGCAGAAGTATTTATACTTATGGAAAGCAGGCTGAACTGAAAAAATTAACAAATTACTTTATTAATTATGTGATAATTAAAAAAAAACTATTCGACTGTGAATAAAAAAAACAAAAACTGTATTATCGTTTGTATTTTCCATTATTGCTAAATCAAACAATGAGTACCAAACACGACAAAAAGTAGCGACTAATATTTTTATATACAAAGTAAACACAAATTAATGTTTTTATTTGAGATAAAAAAGTCAGTGACACGAGCGGGATTCGAACCCACGACCTTCGAGATCACGATAGCTCAAGTGGTAGAGCAGCGGCGTATCTAGCCAAAGGTCGTGGGTTCAAATCCCGCTCGTGTCACTGACTTTTTTTATCACAAATAAAAACTTTAATTGAAAGATATTAATTTGTCAAGGGGACCACGAAAACTAGTGAATTTGGAAGTAAATACCAATTTTTACTTCAATTTTTCATTAATGCTGTTTTTAGGTTTCATTATAATCATAAAATTAATTTTAACAAATTTAATTCTTATTATGATTTCAAAAAATTTATCACTGTACAAATTTTATATTTAAAATTTGGCATCATATGGAAATTATGGTATTCTTTAATTTCTATTTTATCTTTATTTGAATTTATTGCATTTTATTTTTGTTTTCACTCTTCATTATTTTGTTTTTTCTTTCATTTATTTGGTCATATACACCTTCTCAGTCCTTTTGATTTAATTTTTATCAATTTTGTTCACTGACATAACTCCTGCCACCTGTTTTAGGTGACAGGCGAAAATTGGATTGGTTAAATGACTTTTACTAATGGTTTTATTATTTCATTTTTAAATTTCTTTCTCTATTTACGTTTTTCCTTACTGTAGTACTGTACTTTTCGCAAATAAATTTATTATTATTATAGCGAAGTGAAGATTTATTATTATTAATTTTGCTTAAATACCAATTCCATGTTACGTAAATTAAATCCTTCGCCTCTTTGAAGCTTTGCCTGGTTTGTCGCTAGTAAAGAGCATAATAAAATGACAATTTAAAACACCAGAGGACTGATATTTCCATTGTACTGTACAACAGGCCTCAACCGTTATATATTTCCATAAAATGTCGTAAAGTCGCCATTTGCCCAGCTTCTTTGAACCAAAAGCCTTAAAATTAATAGCACTGTAATACATCGTGTCATGCAACTATAATACTCTGACTAATAATTTGTGAAGGAAGAACAAAAACACAATTTAAGATTAAAATACAAATTTATTTCTTTCTTAAATACAATTAGGATATAACAGGGTTTTGATTTGGATTGTTTTATACCAGTTAAACAGAAATTAACAAGAAAAGCCCAATTAAAAACACTATAAAAGATTGGAATACAATGTGTTTATAACCAAAATACCACATTACGCTTATATATATATATTAACTCTTTAAATAAACGAAAATATAATTAAAACTTTATACATTTTATATTTCCGTATACACATTTTTTTTAGAAATAAATAGTTTTAATATTCAAATTATATACGGTTTCAAATATAAACATTTAATTTTGTTATTCAAAAGATAGAATGAAAATTTCTGAGATTTCACTATATACATCGACTTGTACACAGAGAATAGAGGTAACAAAGTAAAGAGAAATATAATCTGCGACTTTGTAAAAATATTATGGAAAAAACCGTCGGGAGACTTTCAAGAACAATTAAGTTTTGATTCGTTGATTAAGAGATCCATTAAATTGGCACGAAACGATTGAGTGATTATACACATACATCTCTTTTCTTTTATTTAAAAATCGTTTCAATCAAGGAAAGTCTCAAACAGTAAAACTATTTATAATCCGAAAAATTTACAAAGTTTATTACACTTTTTAATATATACGGAGAGATATAAATATAAATCTGGTAACAACATACAACGGTAGGAGAATCTTTAATAGAGTGAAAAAATACACTCAAAGAATCAAGATGAGAGAATTACAAAAGAAAAAAAAACAAGAAAACAAACACGAAATCACAAAAATGTTTGTACATCTAGATAGTTTTTGTGAAAATATAATCAGTAACATTATTAAAAATTACATGACGATATTTTCAATTTCGTTTTGCATGAAACAAAAACGTTTGGTTTTAAATATTGAAAAATTGAATATATAAAATTATTATTTTATTATGTATAATATTATTGACTCACGACGAGTAGACAACAAAATGTATTATCTATTATTATTCGTTGGAAGATCTCACAATTTTTCAACTTTTTGTAGTTTTTATTTTTTTTTTGTAAAATCATTGTTTTATTTATCTTTCTTAACTTCGAACATTTAAAAACTTGTAAAATCTCTCTAAGTATTTTTTCATTTCACTCTTGTGTGGAGAATGCCCACCTTAAATTTTATACTTAACAGTTTAATCTTAGAAAAAAGTATCTTTTCTTTTTTTAAAATTTTTTATATTTTATATTTTATTTTATATATATAATTTTCCTTATATATACTTAAAATGGTAAAAACCCTTACAAGTTTTACGTAATACTAGATTCACATTCTTTCTCTCATTTTGCCTTTTACAATCAAAACAAATTATAATTAAAATACAACATAAATCTTTTATTATGTAACTTTTTTATTGCGATATTTGTAAATGATAAAAACGCCGATAGAAGTGAAAATATATTAATGTTTAATACATACTTTATTAACATTGAAAGCGTCACGAAGAGACTATGTAGAACTCAATTTTCTAAATTAAAATTCATCATTTGACTTACAATTTTTTTACAAGAATTTCAATAATGTACAAACCTCCTTATTTAACCATAAAATACAATTTTTCATTATTTTACAAAACACACGATAGCTTCGATTTAATTCCGTACACAGGAAGTAAACTGAACTTTATTTTATTTACAAAAAACGTCGACATGTACTAAAAATATGAATTAACAGTACCGATTTTCTTTGAAAATTACTCTATATAAATCATACAAATAGCAATCAATTAAAAATATTATCGACATTTTTTCTCTATATGCGCATAGATATAAATTATGTTTTATATGCTTATGCACACATAAATTATATCTGCAACTATCAATTGTTTTTTTATAATTTTTTTGAAAACAAATTAATATAGCTAATGATAATTGTAATAAAGAACAAGGAATGCATTATACAATAAAATACATAAAACTTAATAAGTTTTTAATTTTTTTAAAACTCTTACAATATTTTAGCAATAGCTTTAAAAAATAACAATAAAAAGCCAAATTCAAGCTAAAACAGTCAACAAGCAAAATAATTTTCTAAATAATTTTTTTTCATATTTTAAAATTTTACTCTGGAAATATCAAATAAATTTAGGAGTGATTTCAAATTTATCACATAATTGCGGAGCGTATACCGGTTACTCCTTTTCATTTACATATATTTTAAAATCTTTGAATACCTAAAACAATAGAAGAAAATGACGAAATTGAAGAAAACGAGACAATTGTAAAAGAGAGGGGCCCCCTTAAAGAAATTATCTTTTTCCATTTCTTTGAGTTTTAAAGAGTGTTAGTTAATATGATTCATTATAAAAATACATCACGGCGGCGGGGATGTTCAGACTAGGTTTATTATTCAATTAAATTATGACTAAGTTTTTAATTAATATACGTAATTACTTAGGGCCACCTCTTTAGCTGTGGCAGTGATTTGATATAACCTGGTCTAAGAAATTATGCTCATCTTGTGAATATTAACATCATTTTGACGTACAAGTACCTATTAGAATCATTAGAACAGGGAGGAAACAATCTCCTCGTCTGTAGTTACCCGAATAACCTAGTTAAGTCTCAGTCCATCAGAATTCTAGCTAACTTTACAATCAAGTCAGTACTTAAATTTTCAAGTAATGCTTTTTTTTGTGAAATTTGCTAACTAAATTTATCACAGATGCGTGTTAAATGTATTTTATTTAATATTTTAATAATCAAACACGTCAAATGAAAACAACAGGAATGATAAAATGTAGTGAAAGGTGGATTTTCGGGAACTCAAGAGAGATATTAATTATTTTGAGTCAAAATTTGATACCACATTTTTAAGGGCAATGTAAAAATGTGTTAAGTAATCTACAGAGTTGTTAATGTAGAGTACGGTTAATTATGAAATGAGCTTTTATTCGACTATTTAAACTTCTAATGGTTGATAAACCCTCCCCCCTTTTATTGAAATACTTCCCAAAATCTTAATACCCATATTGATCCTTGAAAAGACTTATGGAGGACTGGTGAATAGCGCATCTTTTCTGGAATCCTCGCACCCTTGGAATTTTAGGATCTCATCTAATCTCACAAACGTAAATGGAATGAATAGTGTAAAAATATCCTAGACTTTGTCAGTATGAATTTCATCAGTAAGAAAATAATATGGGATGAATCTATGGGTATTATCGGAAGAGCTAGAAATATTTATTTAGGTTAACTTTGTAATAATCAAAGGATGAGCATAAAAAAATAAGGAAAATATAGTACTGGACACATCGCGTTCTGCACGCCATTTACATTCTGTTTAAATTTGAGCGTTTCGCGGTGAGCGCGATCTGTATAATTTTTTATTTAAATTTCTAGAAGTGTCTCTATTAATCTTAAATCTTTAAATTTACATTTATTTAACCTGTTCTCATTTAAAAATTTTAGAGTTAAATTATTTTACCTAGGGCTCCACCACCAATGGTAACTTTTCCGACTGAGGGAGCGTGGTTGTTTCAAACGTTTGCTTTGAGCGCTTATGAATGGTTTGTGGAAGCGCTAGAGAATTTATTTATAAATAAATATATAAACATTTATTTTTGGTTTATAAGACCGTAAGGGGTGTGTTTCTTCATGTGTAACGCCAAGTGGTCCGACCTGCTGAAACATCTTTCGCAGATTCGGCACTTGAACGGCCTCGCTCCCGTATGCTTCCGGAAATGCCGTGTTAATTCGTCCGACCTTGCGAACGACCACGTACATCCTTCCCAGTAGCACTTGTATGGCTTTTCCCCTGTAACAAAAAAATTATGCTAAGTACAGCAATGGCACACTTATATTATCATAAATTTTATAGTATTACATATAAGTCAGGGTTTTTTTAAAATATAAAATTGTAAACATTCATTAAGCATAATCACGTTTCATTCATCCATGTAAGTCTGAAATTTCGTATTGTCCGGGGATTATGTACAAGAGAACAGAGCCCGCCAGGATGAAAGTTACGTTTTTCTTGATTGCTTTGAATGGCAATGCGGTCAACGATTCATCCTGACCGATGAAACATAAAAAATTAATACGGAGGAGGGTTCATGTCAAAGCCTGAAAAATCGACGCAATAATAAAGACAGGTTTCTCGGTCTAACTTTCGACGAAAGTTGCAAATGCTTGTAGCTGATGAAATTACGCAATGAAAATTCTTACGCTTTCCAAAACAGTCTTTGTGGTACTGTAACCGTAAGATCCTGCGATGTAAGGACCACACGCTTATACGTAGTAACAACGCTTGGGCAAAATCCAATTCCGACATTGCTTAATTGTTTTTAGAGCATCGTTCAACAATTTTTTCTGCACACCATGACATACTTGATCATGACTATCAGCTTAACACTGAACACGACTTGAATGTCCCCTTGCAACTCTCTTATCCTCCTAAAGCATTTACTCCATCAGACATCCGACACACTATTAAACAACTACATTCACGAAAAGCTTCAGGTTATGATCTAATTACAAAACAAATATTACAAAATTTGCTCCACAGAGGCTTACTATAAGTAACATACCTATACAACTTACAAATAGTTCAAGAGTTACCTTTCAACTTACAAAACTCCTTCTTTTTTTTGTTGTTGTTGTATGCTAATTCAACATTGGGGCAGTTTATTGCACTTTTCAACCTCTTTTTGTATTTATGTTTTATGGTCAATATGAATTTCCTTGAAACTCGGTACATGCTCATGTACTATTTGTTGTTTCCACAGTATTAAGTGAATATGAATAATATCAATAACAATCAAACTCGCACACAATATACAGGGTGCCATGGTGGATTAACTAAATCAATTGGAGTTCAGTGATGAACGAGGTTTCCATCTTGAACTCTTTCCAGAGATATTAACGTTCTTGAGATTTTAGACTAAAATATGATTTTTTTAACATAAAATTGTAATTTCTCAATCTTATAGGCATTAACGTTCAAATCTGACCTTTATTTCGCAAACTACATAAACTTTTCTACAAAATAACAACATTTCCGTTGAAAAATTCGCGCTTCCGATATTAAATGGCGAAACCCTTGTTTTATTGGAAATTCTCAATTGTAGCTCGTGTAATGACTTTTACATCAAATTTTCGGGAATTTTACTAAAGTCGCCTTATTTTATACGTATTCCAAAGACATGCTTTTTCAATTTTTTGAAGTTATCTTAGTGAAATCTCCTTTTCGAGGTTGAAAGGTTATCGAACCCAAGGAGAGCAGTAAACCAAGAACATCGGACACGTCATATTTTTAATAAAAACATTTATTACTTGGTAAGAAAAATCAGATCCAGTCCTAAAAAATCAAAAAGTGAGTATGTGCTTGTAATACTTATCAAATAATAAGAAATTCCGAAAATTTTGAAAAGTCATTGCTCGAGCCACAACTGATTATTTACAATAAAACGCGTTCTTTGAGAGGCTGCTGTGTATTCGAAAGCACGAATTTTCAAAATCTTGTTATCTTGTGTAAAATTTAATGTAGTTTGCGAAATAAAGGTCAGATTTGTATTTCAATGACGCTAAAGTTGAGAAATTGCGATTTTATTTGAAAAAAAAAAAAATTGATTTTAGCCTAAAATCACACAAATGTTAATAACTCAGGAACGAGTCGAGGTAGAAACCTCGTTCTGGTGAAACTGAACTACGTTTTATTTAGTGAATCCACCATGGCAGTATTGACATTTAACCCTGTATATCGATTCAGATCAATTCATTTATTGTACAACTAGTTTTTAAATAAAAAATAAACAATTAACTATTAAAATAACATTAAAATAAACAAATAATTCGAAAATATTACTTAAAATTAAAAATTAAATAAGTTACTTAATGAATGACTGTATTTTTCGTTTTATTCATGGATATGACATATAATTAAAATTGTTCCTTTTTTTTCTATTATTTTTACACTTTTATAATAATAAGGGATGATCGATGATATCAAAAACCTTTTTAATGTGTAAAAATAACCTATCACGTGATTTTATGCATCCAAGTTATTTCTTATGTAGTGTGATTCATCAATTAGAGCTTTTTATACAACATCCAATATCCTTTTTAAAAAGATAGTTCCTACTCACAGTAAGTTGTTTTGCAACGATCCGGATTTCGAGCCTTTTAGCTCATCATCAGGTTGAAGGACTTCCACAACCACTCTCGACATGAATTGCCAAAGTGAACCCGCTGTTACCTCCGCCAACGCGACGTTCCAATTAGCAGCTGATCTTTTTAATGGCGCTCAATTTGAACGTGCGAAACGCGGAAATTATAACACAAATAAATATTATACTAGTAAATACTTAATATTATTAAATTACTATAAAAATAATAACAATTAAAATAATTAGTTTAATTATTTGGATGTTTGATATTATTTATGTACATATTTAAAATGGGAGGTAGATCAAAATCTGTTATATTATTAATGCATTTATCACCATGTTCAATTTTACATTTTTTAATTTCAAATTTCTCAAACCAATCTAATTCTTTCCCTTTGTTGAAACTATGTGACACTCTTGTATTTAGATTTGAATTGAAATTATGTTTTGTTTCTTTTAGATGGTCCTTAAATTCCGAAAATTTGCTAGATTTAGGCAAGTGTTCTTTTACTCTTGTTTTTATTTCTCTACCGCTCTCTCCTATACATTTAATATAACAATCATAAAAATTAAGTTGGTAAACCCCGCTTTTTGCCAAGTTGTCTACTTTGTCTTTAGGTTTTGAGAGGTTGTTTTTAAGTGAACCCGTACTTCTAAAAACTATTCTAAAACCTTCTTGTTTAAAAATTTTACTAACTTTTTTCGATAATTCACCAATGTATGGTAAACAACGGAAACCTAATGATTCATTTGTGGGGTAGCTGAGTCCTATTGTTGATTCGTTTAAAGTTAATTTTTTTATTCTTTTAACTAGCAACCTATCAATAAATATTTCTTGATACCCGTTGTTTTTTGCTAAGGTTTTAATAGTTTTTAATTCTTTTTTATAGTTATCAGGTGTTAGCGGAAGTTTTAACATCCGGTCTATGAGCCAAATGAAACCAGCAGCCTTTTGGGACCATGGGTGGGAAGAATCCGCTGGTATCATAGTGTCTGTAGTTGTGGTTTTTCTATATACGCCTATTTCTATTAGGCTGTTTATTATGGACAGTTTTAGGTCTAAAAAGTTCAAACAACCATCTTTGCCAATTTCCAATGTAAAATTTATATTATGGTGTAGAGAATTAATTAGTTGGAGGAATTCTTTGAGAACTCTAATGTTCCCGACCATATGCATAAAATACCGTTAACAACATAAACATCCAATATTATTGCTTTTTTTAAAAATTGTTATAACAATTGTTTTAACTAATTTTAACGCGTTTTATCGATACTAAATTATTTCAACGCGGGACGTTTTGAATACCGAAGTATAGATTAGTTGGAAGCAGGATCGGCAATACTTCCTGTGAAGATAATTTCTACCGCTCGAGTTATTTCTCAAGAGTGAAAGGGAGAACAGAGAACGCAATTTTGCTTAATAAAGGCTGGGAGACCGTTTGAATTTCAAACAAGTCCCTCCATTCCACGACATTCGTTTGGTGCTGTGTGGGTTGATGGAGGCTCTTTCTCGTGTGTCTCCTTCTTCCCCCCTGTCTACATTCCCATCAAGCGCTAAGCAAGAGAAATCGTCCGAAGGATCCCTCATTCGTAAACCTTCTCCTCGTCTTTTTCCCAGGGAAATTCTTCAACTTTCTTCGAATCGTCATTCGGTGTGAAAATCGCGGAACTTAAAAAATAAAGAGAAGAAATTGGAAACGCCTGATGTGAAAATACCGGCGGATTCTTATCCTTCTAGATTTATAATGCCCAGCGGGGGAGAAGACTTTTCGTGAAAAGCTATTGTAGCACGGGAAGGACGGACTGGTGGAATTTTAATTAAAACACTCCCCCGGGCCCCGCGGACCGGCGGCGGGGCAGGTTGTCGCTCTGCACTTGTGTACATTCTGGAAGGGGGCTACGGTTAGGAACGGAAGCCGATAAGATACGTTTCCGGTACTGTCATCACATCTCAGCAAAACGCAAGGGGAGAGAGAACGTGTGACAAGGTGTCATGTGGATGGAATTCAGACCTTCGAATTGATCAATATACCCCACTGTTTCATTCGATGGCTGCATTAGTTGATTGAGAGAACAAAGTTAACCTTTTAAACAAAATTACAATTTGTATAATTAACAAGGCTGCTAGTTTTAACATTAGAAAACAGTAACGCATTTTTTTATTGAAGAGAAGGTATCACTTTGAAGTTTAATTATTCAGATATCGTGAGATGCGTTCGAGTGTGATGTAGGTTTCAGAAAAACATTTTTTTTTATCGTGCCAACTTTTCGACTTTTAATGAGATCATCTTCAGAGCCTGGGATTTACAAACAATGTTTACATTTAACAAATACATTTAGGATGTGGAAAAGTGAATTTATACAATGCAAAATATATTTATATTCAAACAAAGTATTTCTACTCACTCAAAGTGTTTGTCTTCTGTGTAATTGTGCCATCCTTGTCGTGTTGAGAGTGCCAGTGAGATTTTGCTGCTTTATGTTTATATATGTTTGGTTTTGAAGGGGTGGGGAAGGAAGTCGGTATATAAAAGACAATTTTGTGTAAGGCGTCGGCTTCTTTGAAGTGAAAAGAGCCGACAAAGGCCCTGAAGATGATCTCAATAAAGATCGAAACGTTGGCACGATAAAGAAAATGTTTTTCCGAAAC